CTAATCTGAATTTCTTCATCTGCAAAGTAGAAAAAATAAGCCCTGACCAGCACACCACCTGAATTTGGTGTATGAAGACAGACATGTGAGTGCCTCGGGGAAGTCCTGAGTTTCAGCTGGCAGAGCAGATCTGTATGATTACTTCATAAAGATGATCCCTGAGATGTTGCATGCCAATCAAAGTAACATAAAACGAGTTTTGTATATATCCTGGTAAGATCTGTTTGCTATGATATTGACAAAACATGCTATCTTGTAGAACCTATTTCCCCTTTCTCTTTTTAGTCTAGTCATTTCAGCCTCACATGAAGTTGGGTGAATATCATGTTCAACACTGTCTTCCCATTTGTTCAGAGTCCCAACTTCCAAAGCCTCTTTCCCCTCCCTCAAGGGTTCAGGGTTTTTGGGTGACCCCACTCTCACCATCCCACTATTCATTCCACACTCAATGACCACAGACTCTGCTACATAATGTGTGTTAAGTGCTAAGGCCACAGAGATGAATAAAACCTAGGTCCCTAGCTTGACACTGATCCCTCAGTGTGACTGCCTTTCTTCTGGACACTCCTCTCACTCTTGTCCTCGACTCAGGAAGCATTTGTACTTCTGTCTCTACATCATCTGGGAATAAGAAAAGCTTTGGCTCTAGAGAAGGGATTTCCAACTCTAGCAAGCAGATGAGAGGCAGAGCAGCGGTGAGGATGGTTTGAGAAAAGAGTTTTACTGAGTTCGAGGTATTTTATAGATGTTATTATATTCAATTCTCACCATAAATATAGGAAGTCGATATTAATCAGTCCCTTTTACAGATGAGGAGCCTGAGACTTAAAGAGATTACATTACTTGCCCAAAGCCATACAGCTTAACAGAAGAGCTGGGATTCACACTTAGGTTGGCCTAACTTTAAACTTGGGCTGTTCCTATTATGTTATGTCTCCCCTCTTCTTTCTGGCCCTGATGCCCCATTGGCTAAGCTCAGCCACAAGGTAAAGGACTTCTTTAGTGCTCAGAAGGCAGGAACTTGGAGGAAGAATTCTGAACAAGAAATGAGGGACATAGTAGGCTTATTTCGCATACCCCAGAAGGAGGAAGTGATAGGGAACCAGAGCTAGATTATCTGCTTGGGGCCAGTAACCCAGGGAGTGTCAGGATGGGCCCAAGAACCCTGCTGAGATTCCAGGGTCCCTGGATAATCTGGAAACCTCTGCATGTCAAGTGATAAATGGGCCCCTTGTCTAAACTCTGCTCTCTGGAGGACTCTGGAGTGGCTAGAAGAAAGTCAGACAGATGTATGGGAGTGAGAGATAGGAAGAAGGCAGGGCTTCAGCAGCAAGTGCTAAAAAGTCCTGAAATCATTACACATTTTTCCCAGCCTGTAAACTTAACATGCTTCCTTCCCCTCTGCCTATCCCCCACTACCTCTAAATGATGCCATTGTTTACTTGTTATTCTGCTTTAACCTGTTTCTTTTTTTGATGTGATTTTACCTGGAGACAAGTGGAGAAGGCCCAGCACAAAGTAGTGGAAGGCGAGCAGTGTTTGAATCCAGGTTCTGGATTCAAGGTTCTAGAATCCAGGTTCTAGACACGTGAGTGTAAAAAAAAGGTTTTTACCTTTAAGATTCTCATTTTTTCTCATCTTTGAAGTGTAGAAAATGATACTTACCTGATGGGACTGTTGGGAACATTAACTAAGGCAATGGATACAAAGGCATCTAGCACAACACCTGACACACAGTGTATGTTCAGTAAACATTTGGATGTATGAATCGATGCTGCACAAATGTTAATCAGCCTACACTTCCATAGTTGGCTCTGTTCTTACTACATAGAAAAAGGAATTGGGTTCTCTAAGGCAGGTCTCAGGTGTGTCAGTTGAGTTACAGTGAAAGGATACTAGTTCTTTCTGTACTTACCGCCCCTGCCTCCATTTAAAAGGTAATAGAAAAAACTTCTAGCTAAAGGCTCACTGTTGCTGCTGCAAAACAAACATCATCACCAGCCTCCTCTGCTGCGGGCTTATCAACGAAGAAACTGGGTAATCTCCAGTTTGTCTGCTGCAGCTGAGGGTAAACAGACTTTAGTCCTGTCTCTGCACCTCTCAACTGATACAGAGCAAAACTAGCACTGCATCAGTATGGAGAGTTGCGTGAGAGCCAGGTAGAGACCTGGCATGATCCCTCTCCTTCCCACCCCTACTTTTTGCATAGTTGCTTGTCTCCTCGGAAATGCACAGAACACTGGTTTGGTGGGCAGCTCCACCCACCTGTGGCTCTAATCTAAGACAGACGTGGCTAGACAAGAAGATAGGCTGGCGCGCCCTCTGCTGGAGACAGGTGGGCTAGCAGCCTCTGGCTGATTGTACACCTCTTGGTGCTGTCCTCCATCTCAGTGCTGAAAACCTTTCCCCTCTAGCTTGAGGTGATAGGTATAACCTTGTCCAAGAAAGCTAAGGAGAAGCTGAGCAGGCCAAGACCACACAAAGGGCTGCTGACAACCCCTGGTCTCTTGCCCAGCCCTTTTTTTCTGCTCTGCCAATGTGGAAAAGCAGATAGTTCATCTTGCAAACACACCCCCCATAGGCTGCCTTATAGCCAGTTTCTTTTTTTTTTTTCTCTCTCTCTCTCTCGGAATGGGAAATTTTAGCAGAGCCCATATGCTATGATTCAGAGACAGTTAATATCACTGTGTCTAGCATTAAGTACTATACTGTACACTCCATTTGCTGACATCCAGAAATGTAACATCCTGTCCCATGTCATCCCAGTCCAGAGAAATGACATGAGGCGACGCTTTGGAGCATCCAACTTCCAACCCAGCATCCTCCTAGAAAGTGAGTCCCCTCTATTTCCTCCCAGACAGATGTCATTCAGACTCTTCTTGCACTCCTGTGGTGATGGGGAGTTCATGGTCTTCCAAAGGAGCCCATCCAGTGGTTGGCAATTCAATTCACTAAAAGTTTTCCTCATCCTGAGCAGAAATCTATCTTACTGAGACTCACTCCCCAGATTTGGTTATTACCTCTGGATAACACGGAACAAGTTTGCTTCTTTTGTCCAATGATGTCCCTTTAACTTTTTGGAGACTGTGATCTTTCTTTCCTATTCACACTCACTCTTATTTTTTATTTTAAACAATAAACTGCTCCATTCCTTTCTAATGGGGAAGGATTTGCAGACACCTCACTTTCCTAGTCATATTCCAAATGATCAAAGCTACCATTTAGTGAGCATATAAAGATTTTTGCCTACTTTTCCCACACCTAAGTTCATTAAACTTTCATAACTATTATAGCAAGGTAAGTATTACTATGACCATCTTTCAGGTGAGGAAACTAAGATCTAGAGATGTTAAATAACTTGCCTAAGATCACACAGTTTTAAAGAAATAGAAGTAGGGTTTGAATGCAGAATGAGCCAAAGTTGCCTGGATCCAAGTTTTTGCTCTTAAATCATCATTATACCTGCTGTTTGTGTAGTCTATGATCCAATTAATCAATGTAGTTTTAAATATATGGGCCAATATATGATCACAACATTATGGAAGTGACCTGGCCAAGGAAACATGGATCCAGACTATTGTCTCTCTCATTTTATGCACTCTGCCTCTTTTCATGCTATCTAAAATAATGCTATCATTTCCAAAAGACTGACACACTCTTGGTGCATGCCAAACTGGTTGCAGTCAATTAAACTCCCTGGGACTTTGACACGGGAACTGCTGGAAATCAAGACTTGACTGTTGTCCCTTATTTTGATAACAAAGTCCTTGACCTCAAAGTCAGGGTTATACCAGTTTGGGGGTTTGCCTGTTGGTTCTTGAGCAGTGGGAGACCGAAAGGGAAAGGTGCCAAGAATGCTCAGAGGAACAGAAAAGCGGCACAAAACACTTTATTTGTGTTCCTATGGGCAAAACGAACCCAGGGGAGAGACTGTATGTACAACACGACATTTGTAGCCAATCAACGTATGGCTCTTTGTTATTATTTCTGAAAACCAGCATGCAAAGGAGAACAAGTTTTGCTTTTGATTTTTGTAGCAAACTTCAATAATCTCCAACCCAAACAAACAAACAAACAAACAAAAAATGCTTTAGTGGAGCTTTGTGCTAAGGGCTTTTCCTCCCTGGAGCCTTCCTGCCTCTCCCCGTCTTCTAATCCTCATTTCCGGGAGGTCATTTTAATTAGCAGGCTGTCATGGTGACTCAGCCTGCTGTTTCCACAGACAGGAAGGGAGCAGACTCCCCTGGACCCATTCATCATACAAAGGCACTTTACTCTTCACAAAAAATGCACAATATTTAGCTTGCTACACCTTGGGAATTGCTACTACCATTTTATTTTATCATTCTTCCCTGCCTCAGGGTGCATCCTTGTGTCTTTTGCATCTTCCTTGCCTGGCAATCACACTTTCCTCATTGCAGATTAGCAATGCCCACATCTTCAGGGGCCATGCTTAATCTCTGTCTCCTGGGATCTGGAGACTAACCATAATAAACCTTTTAAAATGAAGGACCAGTGCGTTTTTGTCTTTGGAGCTAAAATTTTAATTAAACTATCCAGGAAATAGGGAAATAGCTCTCAGCACAGTTTTCTAAATCTGCATGCTGGGGTTTGAGGGAATCAGGAAGCATGCAGCTTAGATACAGTGATCATATATTTAAGTCCACTGTGAATTCAAAAATCCTGTCCCATTGTTCCCTAGGATGCATTTGCCCTTGGGTTGCATGTGTTGTTGCTGTTGTTTTGGATCAGAAAATACAAACACTGCATTTCTAAATCTGTAAACAATCAAGCCTATTTAAAAGGTAACCATCTGCAGTAACTATAAAACTTAAAAATGTAAAGTGGCTTTGAAAGAACTGACCTGATATGTGTCAAGTATCTTAAAAGGGATGTGTAGGTTTTCCTCATCTTGGAAGATCTCTGTGTTGTAGAAAATAGCATCTGTGATCACCTGGTTCCAGTCTCCTATTTTGTTCCTGAGCTTTTTGAGCTGAAGGCTTACAATTGATTTTCCATTGGAAAAAGGGAAAATCAATGATGAAGTTTCTCATTGTATCCCTTCCCTTTCACTAGCCTATGCATTAATCCACAAATCCTTGGAAGCTAGAAAAGAGTGATTAATTTCATTCCCCAGCAGAAAATGCACGCTCCTGTCCCCATAAGACCTCCCAGGACTCCGTGTCTTTAAAAAGGGGTTGAAGGGTCTTTGTGGTTCACTGAGCTCTTCTTGTCCCCTTTGCCGTTGGGGTAGTTGCTGGCTGGGCCCCGCAGGAGTGGGTGCTTGTAAGGAGGGGATTTTTCTTTCCTGCAAAGGGGGAGATAACAGAAAGAGAGAAGACAGCACATATACACACTGTGATGAAATCATTTGTGTGCATGTCTATCTTCCCCACTGGACTGTAACCTCCCAGGAACAGTAACCTGGTCTTCTTCCCACAGACACTAAAGGTGACAAAGACCAGCAGGCATTGATACTGTCTTCAAGTTGCTTATAGCTTAGGAGAGGAGACAATTGCATAAAATACCTACACAAAACAATAACTATAATATGTGTCAGGAAGTGGTTAGTGTCATAAATATGAGAATCTCTTGAACTAAGTTTGAATTCAAATTGAAGAAGAGGATTTGGAACCCATCAAGCTCTGACCTTGGCGCACCCATTTTTCTTTACTGTTGATGAGTCATATATAAGGTAAAGACAGAATAGGTGGCACCACATAAAGGGACACCTTGCCCTAACATACCCTCCTTCCTTAAAGGAAGCCTTACTGCCTGAAAATCCACATTCATTGAAGAGCCTTGCTAACATAACAAGGCTGCCAGAATAGGTGAGATACAGCTAGACATCAGTACCTATTAACACCCTGGAGCACATGCATGGGGTGTAACTTATGGGCAATGTGATCTTGAAGCAGTTCCTCACCTTCTCTGGACCTCTATTTCTTTATTTCTAAAATAGGAGAAAAATTCATGTCCTTCCTGCCTCATAGGCCCTGGTAAATGGAGGTTGAAGAAGAGCTTTGTAAATTACAAGGTGCTATTCATCTGTCATTGAAGGATGTTGTTCTTAACACCCAAATGGAGCACAGGACGTAAATATGTTTTTACGGGGAGAAAGAGGAGGCAGGCCCAGGTTTGGTCATAGTTGGGGCAGCCATGGGGGGATGGTGGCAAGGGGACAAGTTGTGCAAAGGCTAGAGAGGACTGTGAATATGCAGAAGGACTTAGGGAGGGTGAGCTAGGAAGGCAAAAAGCCATCAACCAAAGATGGGGACACAGAGAGTGCAAGGAGCCACTGGAAGGCAAAACATCCCATACCTTTAGGTCTCTGCAGAGGCTGTTCCCTTCCCTACCTCTAAAGAGGTAGAGAAAGAGCCCCACTTCCTTTGGGAAGACAAATTCCCAAAAAATAAGCTTCCCCCATCCCTAGGCCTTTTTAGCACTTTGTACATCTCATCACTCCTCCGCCTGCCATTTTCTAGGTGGTTCTTTGTTCATCTCTTTCTCTTATGAGATGATAAGTTTGATGTGTATGCTTTTTCTCTATAATTCCTGAGCCAAGTGCAGGTCTGGTATGGGGTAGGTGCTTGAGGAGTATTTGATGACTAGAAATGAACTTTCAGTCTTATCTTCACCATATCATTTACTCTAAACATTCTGGCCTTGTCATTGCTGTTGTGTGAAGTCAGGGACCCTTAACAGAGGGACCAGCTGAAGCCATGGCAGAAGAACATAAATTGTGAACATTTCATGGACATTTATTTGTTCCCCAAATTAATACTTTTATAATTTCTTACGCCTGTCTTTACTGCAATCTCTGACCATAAATTGTGAAGATTTCATGGACATTTATCACTTCTCCGATCAATATTCTTGTGATTTCCTATGCCTGTCTTTACTTTAATCTCTTAATCCCATCATCTTCGTAAGCTGAGGATGTATGTTGCCTCAGGACCCTGTGATGATTGCGTTAACTGCACAAATTGTTTAGGCCCCAGATATCGGGGGAACCCGCCCCTAATAATTCAATGTGAGTCCTTTTCTGCTTTCCCTAAGTGTCAGCTGGTCTGAGAAATAAAGGGAAAGAGTACAAAAGAGAGAAATTTTAAAGCTGGGTGTCCGAGGGAGACATCACGTAGGCAGGTTCTGTGATGCCCCCCAAGCCACAAAACCAACAAGTATTTATTAGTGATTTTCAAAAGGGGAGAGAGTGTATGAATAGGGTGTGGGTCAAAGAGATCACATGCTTCAGAAAGTAATAAAATATCACAAGGCAAATGGAGGCAGGGTGAGATCACAAGACTGGGGCAAAATTAAAATTGCTAATGAAGTTCCGGGCACACATTGTCATTGATAACATCTTATCAGGAGACAGAGTTTGAGAGCAGACAATCAGTCTGACCAAAATTTATTAAGCGAGAATTTCCTCATCCTAATAGGCCTGGAAGTGCTACCGGGAGACCAGGGCTTATTTCATCCCTTATCTACAACAGTAAAAGACAGATGTTCCCAGAGTGGTCATTTTAGAGACCTACCCCTAGGAATGCATTCTCTTTCTCAGGGATGTTCCTTGCTGAGAAAAAGAATTCAGCAATATTTCTCCTATTTGCTTTTGAAAGAAGAGAAATATGGCTCTGTTCCGCCCAGCTCGCAGGCAGCCAGACCTAATGGTTATCTCCCTTGTTCCCTGAACATCACTGTTATCCTGTTCTTTTTTCAAGGTGCCCAGATTTCATATTGTTTAAACAATTTGTGCAGTTAATGCAATCATCACAGGGTCCTGAGGTGACATACATCTTCAGTTTATGAAGATGACGGGATTAAGAGATTAAAGTAAAGACAGGCATAGGAAATCACAAGAATATTGATTGGGGAAGTGGTAAATGTCCATGAAATCTTCACAATTTATGTTCAGAGATTGCAGTAAAGACAGGCATACGAAATTATAAAAGCATTAATTTGGAGAACTAATAAATGTCCATGAAATCTTCACAATTTATGTTCTTCTGCCATGGCTTCAGCTGGTCCCTCCATTCAGGGTCCCTGACTTCCTGCAACACGTTGCCTTGGAATGTGTCTTGTTAGGTCCTGCTTCTGGCTGTTCTCTACTCTATTCCCCAACATGGAATACCCTCTCTCCCCTTTCTATTTCATCAATCAAAATTCCATATGTCTGTTAAAGCCAAGTTCAAGTGCCACTTCGTCTCTGAAGCTTTCTTGGGACATGCCTGCCAGCTACAAAATACTTGCCAGATTTTGTAGGAGAGGAACTTCTGCTTGGGTCTAACTTTTCTTTAGTGTGAAGGGGTCAAAGTGGATAATTTTGGGGACTTTCTCAGTTCTACCACAGCTCAGTAACACTCATGAATTATTTAGAATTTAATCTATGCTAGGCCCTCCACCATGCACTAAGGATACAGAAGTAAGTAAGACTGAGGACACTGAAGCTAGCAGAGAAGCCAGACATGCATAGAAGCTATGACAATACACCACAGGACACACCATGCTAGAGGTATGTACGAAACACAGTTAGGAGCTCAGCAGAGAGGAAGCAGCTCTGTCTCAGGTGGAGAATACAGACAAGGAAACAGAAGGTGTGATATTTGAACTGAGTTTTGAATGATAATTAGGAGCTCACCATCTATAAGCAGAAAGGGAGCTCATTCCAGCAAGAGGAAAAAGGATGTACAGAGACATGAAGGCAAGAAAACAGCTAACTTGTTTGGGTTGAAGCATAAGGCACAAGGTGATAGAAATCAGGTGGGATAGACAGGGTGCTCATGGGGGTGGAGGGGTGTAGAAAGTAGGAAATGAAGTTTAAAATGTAGGCCAAGGTCTTGAATAGCAAGAAGAGTTGAAACATTACCCTAAAGGTAATGGGGAGCCATGGAAGGTTTTTGAGAGAAGGCATAACCTGATACATAGTTGAGTACTTATACACTTTTCAGTGTTGTTTGTTATCTTTACATTTATACTTGCCTTTATCCTCCACAAATCTGAGCTCACAATGGGCAGGGACTATTTATAATCCTCTAGCAGTTGGCACAAGGACTGGCACATAGTGGGCTCCAATGTGTTGAGAAGCTGATAAGCCCCCTTACACACACATACAACCATCATAACCTCTCCCTGGAGCCAGCCCCTCCAGCCTGTGAATGAGCCTGAGTCCATCTCTTGCTCGGAGACCACAATCATGCTCTGTTTACCTACAGAAGCACACCTGCCCTGTTCCTTCTTCCTGTCTGATTTTATCCCCTTTGCTGGAGCATTTGGGGCTTACGACTGTACCACTGTGTGCTAAACAAAATGTGGGGCCTCAGCTTTGGTCATCAATGCCATGCCCCCGAGTCTGAGCTCTTGTGCCCACATTGCTGCCCCTCCCGAGGGACCCTATCTGAAGGGTGGCCCAGTATCCAATGATGCTGGCAGGTTTCCGCCAGTGTGTGAGCAGAAAGTGACATATTGTAATTATCCATGGAGATGGGAGAAAACAAAGATTAATTTTGAGTCAAAACATGTAATTTTCCTTTAAAGCCAGAACTGCTCTTTCACTTAAGCTATTTGATGCTTGGGTGGAAAATAATACAAAAAAGGGGAAGTATTTAAAACCCAAATTAGAGCTCAGAGTCTTGTACCCTCCTGGGAATTCATTTTTCAAGGATTACTGACCAATCTAGAGCTAAGTGGTACTCACAGTTTGATGAGGCAGAGGTGTGTGCATAGGGAGGAGGTTATTAATTTTTTTCTTAATTTAAGGGTGGGTGCATTTAGCTCAAGTCCTCAAAACTCTGAACTCATGAGGAAGGAGCTCTCTAGATCTTTTCTGAAGAGGGCTCCAAAGCTCAAGGCAAGGAAGTGCCATGAACAGTTAAACTCTGGGCCCTGAGATCTCCCCTGTGTCCTTTAGAGCTGTGTCAGGGTTCCATTCTCTCCCATCTCCAGGAACTCTTCACTGGTAGACACTGAACACACTGCACTGCAGGTGAGGGCCTGTGCTCCAGTCCTGGCTCTGACCACATGTCTTTGACCAGCTCCTTCTGCTCCCTAAGTCCCCATGTTCTCCTCTGTATCATAAAGAGAGACTAGAGGATCACTAAGGTCTCCCTGAGTGTCAGCACCATTTCATTGGTATATGACAATGCAACATACAAGAAAAAAAATGATTAAGGATGAAGATAATTGTATTTAGGCAGAGGACCTGAAAGAGACAATCCCCAAATTAACTTGTAAATGAGATTCTAAGAATTCTTTTGAGTTTCATAAAGCTTTAAATGTTTAAGAACTTTAAACAATCAAGAATGACTTCTAAGAATGAACTGAGCACCTTCCTCTAGAGGTGAACTCCTCAGAGGTAGGGGTCATGCTTTAATCAGCCACTCATCCCAGCACTTCTTTCCTGTTAGGGGCCTGGTATAAAGTGTTGCTTTTCCTGAGTGAATGAACGAATGAATGTATACATGCATGTATGCACAATGCAGGCCAGGCACTTCAGGGGCACAAGAAATAGACGTGATTCTCCTGCAAGAGTTTCTAATATGCCATGCATGATGGGGGTGGGGGCACAAAGACTCCAGATGATTTAGAAACAATCTGAGACAGGGTATCAGAATGTCTTGTCATGAAGATGCTATGACATGGGGCTGAGAGATGTATGACTCATAGCATCGTGGAACATAGGCCCTGAGACATCACCCAACCAAACAAGTCAAAGGACTTGCCCTAGGTCTTGATGAGCTGGTTGGAAATCTGGGACTGGAGGACATGAAAACATTTATTGAGCATCTACCAGCTGCTGGGCACTGTGCTAAGCTTGTGTCCATTCTACAAAACCATATTTAGATATCATTGTTATTAGCCCCATTCATAGATAAGCAGAGAAAAGCTTCAAGAGGCCAAGAAACTTGCCTAAGATCCTATGACTCACATGAGTCTGAGACAGAATTTGAACCCATGCTGACGAACTTCTACTTGAGGTGAACCTTAGCTATACTTCAATTCGGCTTTCAAATAATAAAAGCCTAGGAGCAAACCCTGGCTCTCCCAAAAACTCTTTGTCCTCAGGCATCTCACATCTTCTCATCGTCTTTCTGAGTGTCCTTTTCCTTATTTGTAAGATGGGGAATATAATGTCTATGAGGAATAAATAATACAATGTACACAAAGTACTCTGTACAATAAGTAAAGTGATTTATATTGTTTTTATTAATAACAGGGTAGGGAGGAAGGTGCATCAGTGCAAAGGCCCTGAGGCATCCACATACATGAGCAAGGTCATGGCAAAGGTCAGTGGAAAGAATGGTCTGGCAGGAGCCAGGAGTTGGGCATTGTCATGTCCTTCAAGTAGGAGGGACCACTGAGGGAGTGGGAGGTGAGTCTAAGAGATGGGGCAGGGCCAGCACATTCCAGATGCCATGTGATGTCACTGTCCTTATGCTAGCTGGGTTCACAGCCAGTGGTCATGGAAGTGCCCAGTGCTTCAGGCTCTGGCCAAGTCCTCAGACAGGATGGAGGCTCACCTCCTGACCTTCTCTCCTCAATGGCCCTGCAAGTTGGCCCCAGAAGAGGACCCAAGGTAGAACTTCTCAAGGGTGTGTCCTCTCCAGCCCAAACCTTTACATCTTGAGGGAAGGAGACTGTCATGTACTGACAGCACTGTGCTGGGTGCTTTAACACATATCTCATAATAATCATGTATGTGAGGACTGCTGTCCTCACTTTATAGACGATGAAATGGAAGGATCAGAGAAATTCATATAGGAACCTCAGAGGATGAGGTATCAGGAGAGGTAGTGCATAGAAACACCCAAATTAATTTAGAACAATGACTGAACCCAGCTCCCCAGCAAGCCCCATCCCTGTGGATTCCCAAGTTAGAACCAGGAATGTGACCTTGCCCTCACTGTCTGACCTCTTAATGATACTTTCTTTATGCTCAGGAAATATGCTCTTATGCCCCAAAATCTCTGTGGCAGGGCCACGATTATCTTTCCTGCTGCACAGATGGGATGCTGAGTGTCAGCAAGAGGCTAAGGGAAGTTGCCCCTGAATACAGCCAGTGGAGCAGAACTCAAGCCCAAACCTCTCTGCTCTGCCACTTACCGTAGTCTCGGCATGGGAATTGCCACCTTTTCAACCATGGGGTTCAGCCGATAATAGTCCAAAAAGGTTCTTGCCACGTTCCGCCCCAGCTTCATATCTGCAGGTGTGTGTGTTAAGGAGCAACTTTGAAAAGAGATTGAGACAGAGTGAAAAGAGGACTACTAATAAAAATAATAACAGTAATAAAAACAGTTACACCACTCATTGTTCTAAGCTTTTTGTATGTGCTCTCTTTTTTGATCCTTGAAAAACCTTAAATGGTAATCACTATTATTGTCCTAATTTTATAGATAAGAAAACTGAGGTGCATCGCAGTGAAGTAATTTGCCTAAGGTCACAAAACTGGGAAAAGAAGGAGCCAGGATATGAGTCTAGGGAGTCTTACCCCAAAGCCTGTGCTAGTAGCTTTCAGGGTACAGCCCTTTGGAAATCACTGGACTGCTCTGGTCTAGCCTCAGGTGGCTCAGGATGGAGCCAGGTAAGCAAAAACCCCAAGGGCAAGAGACATTGGTTGTATATAGACCAGTGCCTGCTTGACCCTTAGGGCTCAGTCATCCACTTTAGTAACCTCAGGCACAATGGTAAAACCCTGTGACCCTAAATCATGTTCCCACTGCACCTTGAAATTCCTCCAACAATGAATCTTTCTGGTAACGATTTGTGATTGTAAAAGCACAAACTTCTTGGGGAAGGGTCAATTTCATATTGACCATTAACACCTTAATATGAATGAGTACAACAATCATTATTCAACAACAGAATATCTTCTCTGTGCATTATAGCTCACATCTCTGGGCTTCATACATGTTATTTCCTCCGCTGAAGTTCCTCCCTACCTGCTCCTGCCTTCTCCTCAGCTAATTCATACCCCTTGCTTCTCTAATGAGGTGATATTTCTTTATTAGAGCCCTCCAGGATATTCTTCTCTCTTCCCAGAACTGTGATTGGTGCCCTTGTCCCACATTTTCATGACTCCTGAGCTGGCTTCATTCAAAGCACTTATCACTTATCTCACAGCATGGGAATTATGTGTTTACTCAGCTTAATCCTTAGCCATTCCTTCTCCCTCATCTCTTAGCTCTGAACATCCAAGCTGTCACTAACCCTTCTCCAAGACACCTACCATCTCTTGAATGTTTTCACTTCTTTCCACCCCCCTAGAATAGGCCAGCATCATCTTTCTCCTAGATTGCTGTCATCCTGTCCTAACTAGTTTCCCTGCCACAGAATTGGCCCCCTCTGGTCCATTTTCTACAGTGCAGCCAGAGGGATTCTGCAATGCAGCTCTGAGTATGTCACTCAGCTGAGTAAAACCCTTCAGTGGTTCTCAGTTGCCTTCAAAGTCCAAATCTCTGAGCATGATTTACAGTACTGTTCATAGTCAGGTCCCTGATTATTTTCTCAACATTATGCTTGCTACCTCCCACCTACTCCCCTTGCCCTTCACATTCTGGAAACACTGAGCTTCTTCTACCTCCAGGCCTGTGCCCCATACGTGCCATCTTTCCAGACCACTCTTCCTCCCTTCACATGCCTTCCAGGGCCCACTCCTTCTCAGCTTCAAGAACTCAATTCAGTTGTCACTCTACTGGATAAGTCTTCCTTGGCTGTCCTTGCTGGGACAGGAGTCTCTCCTAGGTTTTCCCACAACCTCTTCTTCCTAGCCTGCACCAACCAGAGCACTAATCATACTGTATTTTACCTGTCTCTTCTTTTCAATAGCCCCTTTTAGCAGGCAAGCTCTATGAGGCAGAGGTCTTATCTGTCTTATTCATCACCTAAATACCCATGTACTCATCTGACAATAAGTATGAAATATATATTTGTTGAATTAACAAATCATAGCTGGCTGGGTGCGGTGGCTCATGCCTGTAATCTTAGCACTTTGGGAGGCTGAAGTGGGTGGATCACCTGAGGTAAGGAGTTTGAGACCAGCCTGACCAACATGGTGAAACCCCATCTCTACTAAATACAAAATTAGCTGGGTGTGGTGGCGCATGCCTGTAATCCCAGCTACTGGGGAGGCTGAGGTAGGAGACTCACTTGAACCTAAGAGGCGGAGGTTGCAGTGAGCCAAGATCATACCATTGCACTCCAGCCTGGGCAACAAGAGTGAAACTCCATCTCCAAAAACAATAAAAACAAATAAATAAATAAATAATAGCTAATACTCATATAATGTTTAATATGTGCTAGGCAATCTTTTTTTAAAATATACTTTAAGTTCTGGGATACGCATGCAGAACGTGCAAGTTTGTTACATAGGTATACATGTGCCATGGTGGTTTGCTGCGCCCATCAACCCATCATCTACATTAGGTATTTCTCCGAATGCTATCCTTCCCCAGCCCCCAACCCCCTGTCTGGCCGTGGTGTGTGTTGCTCCCCTCCCTGTGTCCATGTGTTCTCATTGTTCAACTCCCACTTATGAGTGAGAACATGTGGTGTTTGGTTTTCTGTCCCTGTGTTAGTTTGCTGAGAATGATGGTTCCAGTTTCATCCATGTCCCTTCCAAGGACATTAACTCATTCTTTCTTATGGCTGCATAATATTCCATGCTGTATATGTGCCACATTTTCTTTATCCAGTCTATCATTGATGGGCATTTGGGATGGTTCCAAGTCTTTTCTATTGTGAATAGTGCTACAATAAACATACGTGTGTGTGTCTTTATAGTAGAATGATTTATAGTCCTTTGGGTATATACCCAGTAATACAATTGCTGGATCAAATGGTATTTCTAGTTCTAGATCCTTGAGGAATTGCCCTACTGTCTTCCACAATGGTTGTAATTTACACTCCCACCAACAGTGTAAAAGTGCTCCTATTTCTTCACATCCTCTCCACCATCTGTTGTTTCCTGACTTTTTAATGACTGCCATTCTAACTGGTGTGAGATGGCATCTGATTGTGGTTTCGATTTGTGTTTCTCTAATGACCAGTGATGATGAGCTTTTTTTCATATGTTTGTTGGCCACATAAATTTCTTCTTTTGACAAGTGTCTGTTCATATCCTTTGCTCACTTTTTGATGGGGTTGTTTGTTTTTTTTCTTGTAAATTTGTTTAAGTTCCTTGTAGATTCTGGATATTAGCCCTTTGTCAGATGGAGAGATTGCAAAAATGTTCTTCCATTCTGTAGGTTGTCTGTTCACTCTGATGATAGTTTCTTTTGCTCTGCAGAAGCTCTTTAGTTCAATTGGATCCCATTTGTCAATTTTGGCTTTTGTTGCCATTGCTTTTGGTGTTTCAGTCATGAAGTCTTTGGTGCTGCGCAATCTTTTAAGTGCCTTATGTATACTGACTCATTTAATTCTCACAATAACCCAATGAATTATTCCCACTGTTCAGAGAAGATAAGTGATTTCCCAAAATGTTGGGCACCTAATGAAGAGCTGGGATTGAAAGTGAGTACCCTGGCTGCATGTGTTTATCTTCCTTCCCAAACTACCTCTCCAGCACCTGCAGCATTCCATATTCACTTCTGTGTCTCTCTTGCCTAACACATGGTAGGGTACTCCACCTACTGAGAAACAAGACTCACATCCCTGACTCAGGAATAGGTGAGGGGGGCATTCAGGGTAATATGTAGAGGAGGAGGAACCTGAGGTTGGTCCTAGGGGATCAGTGGAGAAGGACCATTCTCGGCTGGTCTATAAAGGCAGGACAACTGAAGGGGCATTTCGGGGAGAAAACACAGAGTGAGCAACAGTGCAGAAATGATTTACCATGCATCCATCTATCCATCCATCCATCCAACAAGCATATTTGGAAGCCTCCAGTGTGTCAGGGCTTGTGTGAGAGGAGTGTTTGGTGGGAGGGGTCTTGGTAGGTCACAGTGGAAAGGACAAAGTGGAGTGGGAAGAAAATATGCAGTTGCTTGCATTTGCAGGACTGTTGGGCAGTTGCCACAGGCCTTCCTTCAGTGCTGTCTGGGGCTGGGCCAGGTCTTCTGGGCCATTACTCCATCCAGGACCATGGTGATAGACAAGTGTTTGAGAAATAGGCAAGTGAGTTCTCAGTGAGTTCTTCTTCTTCAAGAAGTCCCCAAGCTGGGGTTTGACATGGCCTAGAACATGAAACCTAGCGTTTGCAGAGCACCTACTGTGTGCCAGGCACTGCACTGGCTGCTTTGCTTAAAAGTGCATTTTAATTTTCAATTTTTATCTCTTTTTTGCTATGGGAGGTTAAGGAATTTGTCCAAGGCCACATAACTGGTAATGGCACTGTCAGGACTCAAACCCAGGCAGGTCTGTCTCCAGAACCATGAGCTTTCCACTATCCTGGCCCATTTCCTGATTTGAAGGCACCTTTTCTGTCAAATCCTGAGTCATCCCAGGCCAGTGCCTGATGGGAAAAGGAAAAACACCAGACAAGCTGTTTATGACAGTGAAATGTACTGCAGGCTTGCTGGGCTCTGGGGCTGCCACCTGCTTTCTTCTTCTGGATGTGACTGACCTTCTCTGTCCTCTTGTTTAAAAAGTTCACAAGCTGGCATTGGGCATGACCTCTCTGAGCAGCAGACTCCGGAGGCCGTCTCACCCACCTTTCACCCAGCCAGTCTCCAGCTGGCTGGAGGAAACCAAATCGTGGTTGTGTGCACCAGCAGTAAGAGCTACAGGGCACAGAGGAAAGCAGAGGTTCCTGTGGATTGAGCTAAAAGATTGCAGCAAACGTTTTTGAGGCAGACGTATTTAATCCAAATCCTGGCTCTGCCACATGCTGTGTATGGCAGATTGTATTTTCCAAAGATGCCTGCAACGGTATCTCCAATCTCCCATGTTATCATAGTACATGACCTTGCCACTCCTTCCTCTGAGTAGTATACCCTTCCCTTGAATTTGAATGGGCTTGGTACTTGTCTGTAACCAAAAAAATGGCAGAAGTGGGAGAAGTGAAATAGTGGGATTTCTGAGGCGAGGCCAGAAAAGGTGAAGTAACTTATCCTTGCTTGCTGAAATTCTCAAGCTGGAGTCCTGAGCCTCCATGTGAGCAGTCTGACTGCCCTGAGACCCTGAGACTATAGAAAGAGAGAGGAGAGAGATTCCTAGCCAGCCTACAGCTCCTCCAGCACTCTACTGTTCCATCTCCAGCCATTGTCTGACTGCAACACACCACTCTCTAAGCTAGAACCAACCTGTTGAGGCCTCCTCAAATTTC